CCAGGATCACACAGCTAGTAAGTGCCAAGTGTTCTGTCAGAGACCGAATTTGAACTCAGGTACTCCTGACTTCAGGGCCGGTGCTTTATCCACTACGCCACCTAGCGCCCCAAGTGGAAGCATTTCAAGGAAACTGACCAACACATTGACCATGTCTGACAGTATCTAACACTGTGATAAAGGTGCATTTTCTCAACTTTTCTCTTGGACTAAACTTGGTCATTTTAATTAAAGTGTTCAAATTCTTTTCAAATTGTATTTTTTTTCCTGGATCTACTTACTTCATTCTGTATCAGCGCCTATGGACTTTAGCTATGCTTCCTGAAATTCTTCATAGCCATCATTTCTCCTTTCTATTACATTCTATTCTATTTCATTACATTCATGTGCCATATTTTAAAAATCCTTCCCCATTTGATGGGAATTCTTCAATTCTTTCTAATTTTTTTTTTCTCTATTCAATTCTTTGCTATCACAAGAAGTGTTTCCATGAATATTTTGGCATATGCAGGGCCTTTTTTCTGTATGTAATGTCCTTAATGTATAGGAATATCTGTATAAAATACTTTTAAAAAGATTCTTTTCTGGTTAAGCAAGTATCCAATAGACTGAACAACAGGAGTGTCGCCTGACATACTATCATCTAGCATGTATACGCAAAGGACTTTATGTCTCTTATTTTATTCTCATAATAATCCTGAGAGATAGATAGTGTTATGCCCATTTTACAGATGAGGAAACTTGGGTTAAGGGAGGTTAAATGACTTTCCCAGTGTCATACAGCTAATAAGTTTCAGAGTCAGGATTCAAACTCAGAACTTCCTGACTCTATACAACACTCTCTGCTATGCCACCTAGATGCCTCTATAAGGAAATTTGTTTAGCCATTGCTACTCAATGAGATGCACACAGAGGATCTCCTTATCAGCCCCATGACTGAGCTGAACAACTTTAGAGTGGAGAATGTAACCACTAGAACTTTCCAGCAGAATTATTAGCAACCTCTATGAGATTGTTTAATTACATCTGCCTTATAAAAAAAAAAACATTGGCAATTAATTCAAACTTTTTTGGAGTACAATATCTTTAAATTGTTAACATGTCTGTATTTGATTTGATTCTTGAATGATCATTCATCAAATAAGTTTATATTGCCTAAAATATACAGGGCATTATGGAAAATCCTTGGTATATAAATACAAAAAAAAAATGTAAGAGCTCATGACCTCCAGATGCCTATAATCACTTGGGGAAGGAAGGGAAAGAATAGGACATGTAGACATATAATTAAATATTTGCAAAATAAGTAGGAAGTAATGGGGGGCACTAGGTACTGGTAAGATTCCCCCCAATAAAAACCTTATGGAGGTTGTAGCCCTTGAGTTGAACTTTGGAGGAAGCTAAGCATTTTAAGAGTGAAAAGGAGTTCCTTCAAAGGCACTAGGGTAAAGGGTGTAGAGATAGGAAACAGCAAAGAAGCCAGTTTGACTGGGATGTAGAGTGTGTTCTGGGAGATACTATAAAGAAAACCTGGAAAGGCTGGCTAGAGCCATATGATATGGGGCTGTAAATGCCAAACAGAGGAGTTTGTATCTTATCTGAGAGGCAATAGGAATGTATCCTTCTGTTTTCTTCATTAAGAAATAGAGTCTATGGGGAGGTAAGATATGGGGACATAGAGAACAAAACAACATTTCCTTTAATATTTATGTCAATATTTTGAGAAATCTTAACTTCATCTATATAAATACTCTCCCTATCGATGCAGATCGAATTGTCTTCCATACCTTAGTACAGGGTAGTTGATTTTTTTGGAGTTGTTGTGGCTGAAAGAATTCACCTGATGTCCCATCTTGTTATGAGCCTCTTTGGATTTAGCCAAATCACTACCCATACTCAAAGCTCTTTCAGCTTGGCCAAACCTTCCTGCATTTACACTCCTCTAGTGTAGCTTTTGAGAATCCTGGACCATGCCTATACCATATAAAAAACATATGTCAATAAGATTTCACAGAAAGAAGCTACATTTAAGGACACAACAACCCAGATGATCCCGGCCCCATATATTAATCTATATCTCTATTGGTGGGGTGAGAAGGAATAAACATTTATATAGTGTTTACTATGTGCCAGGCACTGTGCTAAGTGCTTTACAAATATTATCCTATTTTAACTTCACAAAAACCCTGCAAGGTAGGTACTGTTATTATCTCCATTTTATAGTTGAGGAAACTGAGGTAAACAGAAGTTGTCACTTGCCCAAGGAAGACCTAGTATCTATGGCAAGATTTAAACTTGTCTTCCTAACTCCAAGCCCAGTCTTATATACTTTGCCACCTGGTTACCTCATTAAAATTGGGATTTGTAATAATTGCACTATACTGTTGTAAGAATGGTGGGGTAATTCAGTCAATCACCCTACCCCAATCAAAGTAACTTAACAAGATGCTCTGGCCTTGATATGTTTATCAGATGTGAACACCTCTGCTGAATCATTCAATCAAAAACTTTAAACTAGATGATAAAACTTATTAATGGCTTTAGAAGGAATTAAATTCATTGGATTAAGTGAAATTATGCTATATAAGAAGTGAGATTGGCTAAAAAAAGACTCAGTCATACCCTGCTTGTCTTATGTGAAATTACAAGCCAGTTCAGAATTGAACATTCCAGTATTAGGGCTAGTCAAGCGGTAGATACAATTTTACCTAAGCTCCAGGGAAGGAATCGTTTGGGAGAAGAGGAGAGAGCCTCTGTCTCCTTGACATTCCCCTTTGACCAGGTAAGACATTGCAGACTTCAAAAGATCCTCAGGATTTGGATATCTCATCAGTATCCTAACAATGTCCCTGAAACAGCAGTGACTGATGGCAGTATCTGCATCAGGAGATGAGAACAAACTGAACAACTGAGGAAAGGCAAACTAAACAACTGACTCCAAGGAGCACAGCAAAAACAACTATGCCGACTTAAGGGGAATTTCATGAGGACTCTCCTAAGACAGAAAAAGATTTCCAATGAGCCAGAGCCACTAATTCACCCCTTTGCTACATGAACTTTCCAAACCTGAGCCTACTTTTCTTATAGAAGAATGTCTCCCAGACTGGAGGAATACATTTTGTACCACTTCTTCTTTCTGTACCATCTTAGTGAATTCTCCTAACTGGAAGCTAATTGGTTCTGGGTGACTGATTAATATCAATTGATGATTAAGGAGCATAGCAAACCAGTTCATGAATCTTTATGGCAGAGGTTCTCAAATTTATTTGGTCTACCACCCTTTTTTCAAAAAAAAAAAATACTCAGCACCTCCTTGGAAATCTATTTTCTTTAACTCTTTAACAACTTTTTTTAAATTTGCATCATTTCAAAATACATATAATGTATACATATATATGTATACATATATATATATATATATTCTTTTTAAAAAAAAAACAATGCTTCTTAAATTTAATTATTTATTGAAAATTTGTGGGGTTTTTCCTGCATTGAAATTTTGATGATGCAACATTGCATCAGGTAACCATATACTATCATATTGTAAACAAGTCATTACATGTACATATTCCTGCCAATGCATGCTGGATTTCCCAACAACATGTGACAGGGTCACCGGCCAACACTTGCTTGTTAAGTCCTGTCAGTGGATTTGACCCAACTGTTAGGTTATAACTTGCATTTTGTGTGTTCATTTGGAAAATAATGTAATCACTACTATTTTAACTCTGTTACACAGAAGATTAAACATATACAAATAGTTTTTCAGATTTTTCTTCTCATCTTTCCTTATGCTTCTACCACCCCCTTATTTTTATTCAATGCCCCCCAATTGTACCAGTGGCTACTACTGCCCCCCTCAGGGTGATGTCACCCACTTTGGGAACCTCTGCATGGTATTGGAGAACTATCCACCTCAACCTCTTAGGGTGGCTCTAGAACCCTGAGACAGAAGTAGCTAGCCTCAAACCACCAGTACAATAGGAGTTTGGGGTAGTAGCCCTGGAGTCTGCACTACACTATTTTCAAACAACTTTACCAAAAATAATGCTCTCCATTTAGGACATAATCTATAACATTTTAAGAAAGTATAACACAAACTTTATGTAACCATATAAGTAGTTTAGGAAAAAATAGCTTTTAATAGCAATCTCATTGGACATTTGGGCATTTTGCTCAGTGTTTTTGAAAAATTTGTACTTTTTCAGGGAAGTGAGAAGGAAAAAACAAGTGAAACTAATAGCTTTATCATTTTGCCTAAGACTATTCTTCAGCAATGTCATAGAGTATATCTCCAATTCTCCAAATCCAGGACACTATAAATTACTTCTGTTTACCTGTTTTTATGGAAATGTTTGTGATGTCCAGTGGAGGTAGTTCAGTCTTTTAGGGGCTTCTAGGATCAAAGGTACTCCAGTAGGAGAGTGCTGCTGGAAGTACTTCTGTGACCTTTCCCATTGTGTCTGATGGAAGATGGATGAGCAAGCTCCAGTGAAGTAGAAAGGTCATGAAAAAAGGTCTTCAAGGACAATGGTTTCCTAAAGAAGCAATGGTAGCAATGCCATCTTCCCTGGTCACAACAGCCAGGGCTCCATCATAAAAGAGTAAGATAGAAAAGGTAGTAGCAAGTCCTAGATATTGATCATCTGTAAGTCACATGTTCATACATAGAAAACATCTCCATGACTGTACTACCATTTGCAAGAAAATATTTGAATCATATCAAACTGAACTGGGAAATCTTTCAGTCACACCTAATTATATTGTAATGGCCTAGAGTCACCTGATTTGAAAATGTCTGATCTGAACTTGTTTTCATACACACACACACATGATTAATTAGAGGAGTGGACTAAAAGCAGATAGGTTATTCACTTAATAAGTAATCCTAAAGGCCACTTAGATTAGCCTCTCAAAAAAATGATTGCGATAGGTTATAGAAATAATCTTTAGGACCATATTAACTCTATATTAACCTGACTTTTTGTTGTTGTTGTTAGAACATCTATTCTTGGGATTTCCTTTGGAGCTGCATTTCTCTTGCTTTCCTTCATCCTTTTCATCTGTTTTGCCGGACAGCTGCTGGTAGGTACTCTTTGGTTTTAACTTATTTGAAAAACAATATAATCAAAAAAAGAAAAAGACAGAGAAAGAAAAGAAAGAAAGAAAGAAAGAAAGAAAGAAAGAAAGAAAGAAAGAAAGAAAGAGAAAGAGGAAGGAAGGAAAGAAGCAAGTCCAAGCCCCAAATAATGTCATTTTCTAGGAACAAATTATCTGTTCATAAGATACAGCCAAGAAAGAAAATAAGTATATATCATTCAATATATAAGTCCCTAAAGATTAAAAAAAAATGTAAGGATCAACCCAGGAAATGTAAAAACCATGTCTATTTTTGTATTCATTTGGGGGTTTTTTGGAATTATTTTATGGAAATTTAGAATAGTTAATAAGTAGCTGTGAATGATCTAATAGGTAGTTAATGGGAAAATTAAATAAAAGAAACAGATTATATTGATAATTCTAAATATGTAATATTGAAAATTATTGCATATTAAATATTCTAAAATAGTAATCATTTTACTTAAGTGAATAATCCCAAGGCTACAAGTTTTAGTGTAATCTATCACATTAATAAGTATTATGCCTTTATATTTCTTAGTCCAAGTCAAATTCTATTGTTTCATGATTCTAACAAAGCTAATTGGAGAGAAAATATCTATGAAGATTTTTACCTCATTGATGTGTTATATTGAATAAAAGAGGAAATTGACATCATTGTGTACTTATTCATGTACATGTGGAATCTGCTTTGTGTGAATTATGTTCCTTGCTTCTTTTTCACTTTGAATTCAAAACTGCTTTTGAACAGCAAAATGTTTGGCCCATTCACTGGTGAGACTGCTGCATGACCTACTTCTTCTATCACATTCTAAGCTTGTACAAATGCCAATATAGATTTCACTGCCATTGCTCTAAAAACAGTTTTCTTTAGTGATTGTTGGTTAGAGCTCCCTCATGTGTCTCTGTGTTGTAATATCATTTTAGGTCATTCAGAGGACAAGCCACTAGTTTTACCTACACCATTAATATAATTCACAGTAGTATTTTATTTTTCCTTTGATGAATACATGTCAGTCTCTGAAGAGAGTTATCAAATCAAAAGAGTTGGAACAGATGATCTTTATGATCCCATCCAGCTTTGAAATTCTATGTCACGCTCTGTAATTCCCAGGATATATAACCTGAGGGCTGTGAATTGTCCACCTTTGTTACAAAACAAGCATTAGAAAATTCTCAAAAAGAAAAATGTTAAATTAATGTCAAGATGGGCATTGTAGTATCCTGGGCACATTTTTTTATTCATTTGCATTTGACAAGCACTTATTAAATACCTTCTCTGTGCCAATCCCTTAGCTAGGTGCTAGGGATGAAAACACAAAAATGTCTTTTATCTCTTGGATCTGGGCCTGCCTGCTGTTGGGTGTTACAGCATTCTGGGGCTCTTGTTGAATGCATGCATGCCTCAACTACTCCACCTGGTTTTCAAATTGTTCCAGAAAAGGAACTGTGCCTTCTAATTCATCCAAAATACCATACCACCTATGATATAAGCCAAATGAGCTACTAGGATGGCCTAGAGTTGTAGGAAAAATGAGTAAGGTTACATATTTGTCCTTTTCAGCAACCCTACTACAATTTAATATGCTAAAGAACTCCATTTAAAGAAAAGAAAACACAACCCTTTTTGAGTGAAAAAGCATAGAGAATCACTCATCTTCCTCATAGCTACTGGGCAGACATGTGAAACAACTTCAACATATTATCAGAGAAGGCACTCATCACACACCATATATACTCTCTATTCTATTTAATGGGGGCTTTAAAAAAAAGTCAAATCAATTTGTTTTAAGTTTTCCTTGACAACAGAATATAGCCCTGTGTTCTTTATCTAAAATTATTAAATCATTTTACTTTAGTATGTTATAGATATGGGCCCTTAAGCTAATTTCCCCTTCCCTTTCCATTGTCTTTGATCAATTTTAACAAGACAAAAAATAGAAGAAAATAATAATTACTCTTTACTGCAACTTTGCCAGATTTGGGAAACTAGTTTTAATCTTCTTTGAATTTATATACATATGAATATGTGTATATATAAGTATATGTTTTCTTTATATGTATGTGTCCTATATGCATGTTATATATATGTGTGTGTATATGTATATGTATATACACATGTATACTCAAATATGCATTCTGCTTTGCCACAGAATCTCTAATTGACTTTTGCCACTGTATTTGTGTCATTGTCTCATATTTATCCATGGTAGCCTTTAGTCCTTCTAGACATTTACCAGTAGCATTCAGAAAAAAAGAGGTAAGGAAAGCAATCATATCATAAATTCTAGGTACTTTATTTTAATGTTGTGATAGAATCAGGAGAGAGCTCGGTACCATAGTGGTTAGAGCACCAGACCTGGTCTTATTTCAAATCCTGCCCCAGATACTAGCTCTGTGACCCTGTGAAAGTTATTTAACTCCTTTCAGCCTCAGTTTCTTCATCTATGTGAGAATATTTATAGCACCAGTCTCATCTGAGGATCAAATTAGATAACATATATAAAGACCTTTGCAAATTTTAGCTATTATTATCAAAAAAAGATAATGCTCCAGTAGTACAAATGATAGAATACTTATCTCCTCCCCAAGTAAAAGCCGGGACTTTGGCGAGATTCACAAGACAAAATTGGAAGTGATTTATTGGAGTGTAGGATCTTTCTAGACTTGAATCACCTGAGATTATTAATTAAGTTTCCATCTAGGGTTCAAATTTAATCCTTACATTGTTGGAAGTGGAAAAGAAAATGTGCAGGCTTGCATCGTAGTACAAATTGTCCCAAGAATAAGTACCATGCCCTATTCAAATAATTTCATTATTTGTTTTAATATGTCCAAATCAAGTATAGATTTCATTCAAAATGTCAATAAGGCTGTATGCATTATAGCACCCCCCCAAAAAAAACAAAGTTGGAGATTTTTTTTTATTTACATGCTACAAATATACATACTTAAGCACAAAGAGAATTCATTATTGCACATCCTAAATATTGAATTGCCTCCCTGACTTTTTTTTGTGATTTACTAAACATATGAGGGTTTTCTTATTGTTAACATTGTTATTGATAAATGTGTGTTGTGCCCTACCAAGCTGACTGAAAATATATACCTTAGATTCACTCTGTAGTAAATCAATATTTTGTTATGGTAAGAAATTAAATTCCTAACTTGGATCTGTTCTGGAACTAGGAAATCCAGTATTTAATAACTTTTCTTTATGAAGAAATCACAGCACTTATAAAAAGGGGAATTAAAGTACAATTTAAGAAAAAAAAAGATTTAAAGCTCTACTCCCAGGCCTATGTCATCATTACATATTTTTCTCCCCAATGTTTGGTTATAGAGAATCATAGTTTTATAGTTGAGAGGGATCTTAAAGGTCATTTAGTGCAACCAAACTGAGGCCCAGAGAGGTCTTCTGATTTGCCCAAGGTCACACAGGTAATAACTAATAAAACCAAGATTTGAGATTAGGAAGTTTGACTCGGATCTAGATCCTTTCCCACTCTACCACACTATTCTAGGGAACAAAGTCATAGAAATAAACTAAAGCCCTTTATTGATTTCAAACTCCATTTGAACTATAGGGAGGGGAGAAAATAAATGTTGGTAAAATAGAAAAAAAAGTTTTCTTTCATTTTATGAGAAGATTCAATACAATTAAAATCTTCAAATACACATTATTAAAAATGAATGAGTAGATGAATAGCAAACCATTTATTAACTGCCTACAATGTCCTGGGCCCTGGAGATAAAATACAAAAGTGAGTCAGTTCCTGTTCTCAAGGGACTTAATAATCTAATGGGGGAAATAATAGATAGAGGGGAGTGATAGCCAGAAAAGGGAATTTTTATCTGGAGAGTCATAAGAATGACAAAAGCAACTTTTGAGGGAGCAGGAGGGGCCAATCATGAAGCAGGGCAGATGGCAAGATGTCCAGAAGGAATGGATGGATATGAAGCATGTTTTGAGGCTGGGTAGATATACTGGGAAAATTTTTACCCATAAATCAAAAGAATTTAGCCCAAATCACAGTATATTACTTTGCCCAAGGCATGGTTACTAGATGTCTGGTCAGAAGAGTAGGGGCAAAAGGTAGTAAGATAAAGCAGATGGTCATATACCCAGGGGATGATGGGTCAAAAACAATTCATATGTATGTGTGTGTGTGTGTGTGTGTGTGTGTGTGTGTGTGTATGTGTGTGTGTGTGTGTAGGAAGAGAGGGAGAGGGAGACAGAGACAGAGAGATAGAGACAGAGAAATGCAGAAAGAAAGGGAGACAAACTGAATCCCACCTTAGAGTCAGGAAAACATGGATTCAGATCCTACCTCTGACAGACCTGTGACCTTGGGCAAATCAAAACCTTTCTGTGCCCTAGATTACTCCCTAAGACTTATAAGTTGTGAATCAGGTGTCAATGTACACTGCTTGAAGAAGTTTCCTCAGAGGAAGTTCTGTACATCAGTAAAAGTACAGGTCTAGATTCCATTTCTGCAGGCACGCAGAAGTTGTCCTGCCAACCATCCCCCAGATATCTTGCTATCTGTGCTCACACTCTCTCTCTATCTCTCTTTCCCTCTCTCTGTCTCTGTCTCTGTCTCTCTGTCTGTCTGTCTCTGTCTCTCTGTCTTTCTGTCTCTGTCTCTCTGTCTCTCTCTCTTCCTCTCCACATATATACATATTACATACATTACTTTAAGTATGCACATATACCTATTGCAACATATATATGTGCAAATATATTCCTATTATACTGAAAATGTCCATCTAATGCCAGTGGTCTTATGTACTTCATATTAAAATCCTCCTTTTCTTTCTAAAACTAGCTCAATCAAACCTCTAAGCCCACACCAACAAAGACTGACCTCTCCCTTCTCTGATTCTTACCATGTTCCTAGACTGTACAGGGCAGGTTAGACTATGCTTGTGTTTATAAATCTTGTCTCCCCAAATAAACTATAAGA